AAGAATAGAAAAATCGACAGAAATAATAGGTACTTTTAAGAACACTTATTACAATCGTAATCGGCATGCTCGCTTTTTCCCATGTGCCAAGTCCCATTCCCATGGCTTAAACTTTGCAAAAAATCGATAAAGCCAGTGAAGGTAGATAATTGATAACTTGTAAAATAAGAATGTGTTCGTGAGCAGCATGCTCAATTGCCTGCCTGTACCAACTTCAGCGCCGTGGTTCAAACATTTCAAAAAATCGATTAAATCAATAGAAGTAATGGTAATTTCTGAAATGGTTATCATATTCGTAATCAGCATGCTCGCTTACTCCCATGTGCCAACTCTCAGCGCCGTAGCTCGAACTTTGTAAGAAAATCGGCAAAGATAAAAGTAATTGGTAATTTTAGAAACTATTATTGTATTCGTAATCAGCATGTTCGCCTACCCCCCCCCCCCTGTGCCAACTCCCAACCCCGTAGTTAAAATTTGCAAAAAAATAGATAGAATGATAAAAGTAACTGATGATTCTAGAAATTAATATTGTATCGTAATCATCATGCTCGATCACCCCACTGTGCCAACTCCCACCGTAACTTGAACTTTGCAAAAAAAATCGATAAAATGATAAGAACAACTGATAACTCTAAAAACTAACATTGTATTCGTAATCAGCATGCTCGATCATCCCACTGTGCCAACTCCCACCGTAACTTGAACTTTGCAAAAAAATCGATAAAATGATAAGAACAACTGATAATTCTAAAAACTAACATTGTATTCGTAATCAGCATGCTCGATTACCCCATGTGTCAACTCCCAGCCTCGTAGCTTAAACTTTGCCAAAAAATCGATGAAATGGTAAAAGTAACTTATAATTCTAAAAACTCCCCCTTTTCTTCAAAATTTGCAAATAATCGATGAATTTGGTAAAAGTAAGGTGTATTTTCATGAAAGATGTTGAAACCTGCTCAACATCCATGATCGTGAACCTGTCTGCCAAATCCCGGTCCAGCTCAAATTTTGTAAAATCGATAAACTCCTTCAGAGTGAAGCCGGTACCAACTTCCCACATAACAAGTTTCCATACTGAAAAACGACAGACACGAATACACCATCGGCCAGTAAAACACCATCGAGGAACTACAGACAGCATCAACAACACGAAAGCATGCTTATCCACCAACGTAGAGAAAAGTATCCATTCGGTTTTATATATATATAGAAAGATATATATGCTATGTGTGTAAATTGTTTGAACATTTCCACTTGAGGTTGTACGCCAGTACATATGTATTATTGTCTTCACTTAGTAACTAGAGTCGCTTCATTTCGTATGATCATATGTGCCATTGCACACACAGTCCACTTTGGCGTCCTCATCCTGGATTTGCAATCGCAAAAACGCAAGAGATCTACCGATTGTTATCGATTACATCGATTTGAGGTGACCAGTAACTAAAAAAATGAAAGAAAATGCTAAGAACACCTTGGAAACACTTATCTGAATTCTTGTTTCTCCCACGAATTCTTGTTTCCCCCACATGTTTCTCCCAGGATGGGGACGCCAAAGGTGAACTGTGGGTGCAATGACACACATGGTCATATGAAATGAAGCGACTATATGTAAACCAACTCCTGAACATTCATTATCTCTTTGACAGACCTCATTCTTCACTGACAAATTCAACCACCAAATCAACCCGCTACTGTACTTTACTGTCTATCTGGCGACATGGCGGCGCCTATTCTCAGTAGGCGATCTTTTAGTTGGCGCGACGCGTCGTGAATTAGAAAGCTACCGACTATTTACACCCAGAAGAGTGGCATACAAAACGAATGCAAATATAAAGTAATCTTTGAAAATTTTAAAAAATTCAAATTAACCTCGTTAAAAAATTTTCAGGGATGTGGCTGTTAACACACTCCCTTCTTCTAGATTTTAGGGGTCATAGGCCCGCAAAAGTTTTGAGAAGCACCTTAAAATTTTTTGCAGTGGTGCGTGAACGCCACGCGCCTTCGTTTGAAGAACATTTTGCCCCCCCCCCCCCGCCCCGGGGACGGAAAAACTGCACCGTCACGTAGAAAGTACATGTAATATATGAGACTTTTTTTGCTGTATAAATGGACAAACTACCTGGCTCAAAGAAGTTTACACCTCATATAACTGTGGTGCAATGCGTTCTCGTCGTTGCATTCATTTTATAAGCGAAAGGTAACATTGAGAGGCCCTATTCAATGTTCCTATCATACTGCTCTCAAAACGTATTGCATCTAGAGCAAGCTTTTTGTGCGTTTAAGAGCTTATCAGTCATCGTGGGTATGAATCACGCTTTTGCATGAGTCATCTGAACAATGAAAATGGGGTTCGCCCAGTTATACTGGCAAGTGTGCTTCAATGTGTGACGTGACAGTTTATCACTCAAATCATTGCCAGTGCTTGAAAAAAAATGATTGTACTAATGAAATGGAATTTTATCCATATGGTTTCGAAAACGAAGGTTTCCCACCAAACCCTTAAATGGGATAGATTGTACAGGTAGCGCTGCAAAAATGATAGCAGCTGTTTCAATAGTCGCTCATTACACCCTTAGAAAGATTCTGCTTTTGTCTGAAATATTTTCGGAAAAGTCGTTTCATTTATTGATTTTAGACTTGCAACTGCAATTTTTCGAAATGTGGGTAAAGAATTGGTTTTGCTTTATCGCGGATATCAACAGATGTTGAAACCCCTGCAAACACTACTTGTAAGATGCAAGAATGGATAAGAAATGACAAAGTAGTTGTAGCATGGCAGCACTTGACAAGGAAGGTGCTGTGAGTAAACATCTCAACAGGATGCCTATTACATTATAGAATGGCTCCTACCACGGCTCGGCATGAGATGGCTTTTTGTTTTTCAAAAACGATGTCCCTGTAGACTTCGGCAGAAAAATGCGACTTCACCTATGATGCGGTCGTGAATGGATCAAAACGAATAACGAAAAATATGGAATAAAACATAAAAGCAACTTTGAACAGACGAAAAATAAACTAAAGATGTTCGTTTTCTCCGAACTGGAGAAAACGAACATCTTTAGTTTTCTGGTCTGTTCAAAGACTCGACTCCATGCTGTGTCCGGCGCGCACCCTTGCGCTCTTGGAGCAGGCTTGCCGCCGCCATACAAAATATCTGGAGGACTGTAACTAGGCGAGGGAGAGGAGGTTTGGGAAGATTCAAAAACTCAGTTGTAAGGTTTTTGATGTCGGACAAGGTTATGTTAAATATATGAGAAAATTATGTGAAGGAAGGTAAATATATGATTTTTTCTTTTTAGAGCCACCTCAGGTGGCTGTCCAGGTGGCCGGAAAGCCACCTACTCAGATAATCGCCGGGGGGCAAGCGGCGATGCGATTTATGGGCAGGCGGGCACCGGAAAAATAGTTCGTTGATTTTTTGCGGCCCGCTTGCAGAAATTTGGAAGAAAGTTGGCGAAATTAAAGACGAAAGCTTGAAGAACAATCGCGGTTTCTTTATGTAGCTGCGGCGCAGTGGCCGCATTCTCGCGGACTTTCGGCGAGAATATGCAAAAATTTCGAGGGCCGCACGGTCCTTTGTGGAGGACCGCTCAACCCTCAGGTACTTTCCGCTGAGAGAAAGTACCTCAAACTTGAGTAACTAAACCAACGGTGACACTCTGCCACACAGAGTCTTACCTGCGCTCAAGGTACGCCCGAAAATGCCTAAAAAGAGTCCGAGCGCTTGCTGAAAATTTGGCCAGCGCTCGCTGAAAGAAATTATTTGCGGAGCGCTTGCAAGAAATTTTGTATTGCTGCCCGCTGGCAGAAGACGAAAGTACCGCCCGCTGAAGGTTTGGCCACGCCCCAAAATTCTGCTGACCGCCTGCAGAAAAGCGCGAGTTTGCGGACCGCCTGCCCCCGGCGATTATCTGAGTAATTCCGAAAAAAGTCTGCCAAGCCTTCAGTTCACATAATTTTTTCGTAGTTTTTCGCACATAGTCCTGGGTCCTTATTGCCCATCTACACACCAAATTTGGTGTCATTTCATTTTCTCTTTGCTGTAAACAAATCTTTTGTTTATTTCGGGGCAGGCTTGATTTCGCGCGCTTAAAGGCAGTGGGTCGGCAGAATGAGACCCGTGGCAAAACAAGGTCACAGGGTAGGAGCCCCCATAATGGAACCTATGGGCCAGAGTTCTATCTTTCTGTTCCACCTATAACCCCCGAAATCTCAAAGCAAAAGCAGCGCTCATCTCCTCTCCTCTCCGACCCCGCCCACCCGACGGACGAGTGAACGCGAAGCCGTCATGGCGAAGACGCAGAGTCGTTGCGGGACCTCATGCTTATAGCATTGTGGCTGGCGCTCTGACCGTGGAAGTCACTCGTCCATGGGGTGGGCGGGTTCGGAGAGGACAGGAGATGAGCGATGCTTTCGCTTTGAAATTTCGGGGGTTAGAAGTGGCAGAGAAAGATCGAACTTTGGCCCATAGGTTCCATTATAAGGGCTCCTACCCTGTGACCTTGTTTTGCCACGGGTCTCATTCTGCCGACCCACTGCCTTTAACCGGTGAACATGTTGAAACAGGAAATTTTTGGTTTTTGCAGATCGATAAGGCAGAAATGAAAATTTGTGTCTTTTATAGAAGATGGGTGACATGAAGCCAGAAGGCGACTGTGTGTGTGTGGGGGGGGGAGGCTGGAGTTTCGCTTAAACGATATCTCTCTTGGTTTTTATCCCAAAACAATATCTAGCTTGCCCCGTAAGCCACGTTTGCCGAACCCTGGCTCCCACTTCTTGTTATCACGTTTGAAATGAATCATATCCGTGAAAAAGAAAGGAGAAAATTGAAACTGAAGTTTACAAACTTTTAGCATTCTAAACTATGAAGGATATCATTTAAACGAGAGAAACTCAATTCACCCCTTCCATATTCGATGTTCAACATAACGCTGTCTTCGATTGCATGCGGTCGTAAAATTGATACACAATTATCAAAAGGAATGTCAGCCATTCTCCAGATAACGAGTCATGCTCTGTGTCACGATTCGAATCTAAGAATTTGCGACATTACTGCAATCCTACTCAACTTTCGACCTACTTCGAATGGTGCTAGAGCCCATCGAATTCTCAGAGTGCTATGGGGATACGCCCTGGTTTCGTCAGAGTCTATACCAACATGAAGTAGCGTTGGATAACACCATGAAAAACATGAAAAATATTGAATCACAATGCCGTAAACTGATTGCAAGTACCAAAAGTAAGTTGAGCTTGTGAAGTTATCTTTTAGTCATCTAGTCCATAGTTTAGCTTTTATCTTGCCATCAAAGCCTTGACTAAAATATGCTTTCATGCTAACAAAATTCAGATTACAAGTCTTAGCTCAGTTCTTCCTGTATACTGTTATTGATCAACTTAGCTGCTTACTTATACAACTGTGCACTTACTTTATACTGTGCAAAGTCTCCCACGCAACAGCAACTCTAGAGTAGATGTTTTAACTGGTAAATTAACAACAAGATCCAAGAACAATTTTTTGAACAACGTGCGTTTCTCTCAGCTTCGTAGAGTTTGATAGTTTTGACTATGTCTGCCGTTGGTGTCATGTTTTGTCAGGAAAGCTCAGACCTATTTATTAGGCCTTTTCTGCTGTAAGCATTTGTTTGAACGATATGTTGAGTCACATAAGGTAAGATCGACCGTTTTGTTCTTGTCCAGCATTTGCGGAACGTCCCACCTAAGTCTTGTTAGGGTCATTCTGGTGAATCTTCAGCTTCTCAGAGCACGGTACTACTTTTTTGTCTTATGTGGACGAGCAAATGCCATTTTTCATAATTGGGAGCAAATCTGTACAAAATAAGCTTTACCAATAAGGCCAAATGAGCAGGTACTTGAAAGCTTATTTTTGCTTTAGAATCCACTTTCGGAAGCTGATATACAAACCTAAGTGCAATTTGAAAAGTGTGATCAGTATTTTCATATGCGCATCTTACGCGAACCAACTGAAGTTATGAAACGACCCAACACATTCAGCCAAAGCAACTAACCCGACAACTGGGAGCATAATGAATCTAATCTCTATCGATTATGTATTATTATTATGTTATGCAAAGATTTGTGAACATATTTTGTTAACGAAACACGTTAAGAAGAACCATACTTTGTTGACTAATCATGCCGGCATGCTGAAAGTCGCAGTGGAGAAGGTAGTAGGGTCTCCAATGACGAAGATGTCGCAGATGCGCACCCGCGACATAACGGAGGATGCCCCGCACCACGCCGCAGGAACTTTCATGCACGCATGCTTTAGCGTACTCTGCCCACACTTTGCAAGATAGCACATGGGTAGGCTGGATGTAGTAAATGTCTTCTTACCTTCTGCGGACGTTCACAAGGTTGCGAGTAGTTTGCCAAGATTATTGCTTTAGATGTAGTCAGTCTTTCTGGGTGTTGCAGAAGTAAAGGTGCATTTAGGAAGGCTTTTTTCTCTCAAATAAACGAGATGATTTTATGTTCCAGGCCGAAATAGAGCTATTGAAATCTATTGATTGGTGTGTTCAAGGCCGTGACTCGTGTCGCATTTTCTTGTCTCTAATGTAAAGTTTGTTGCTTCGAGCCATAGACAACTTTGAGCAGCTTTGGCGCAAAGAACACGTAAAGTCATGGATATTTTTGCTGGTAGAAAACTGAACCCACGGCAGCATAGTTTGTCAAGGTCAAGACAGGAGATATAGCATGAATATGGGATAGAGTTAGTACGTTAATGCCTATTACTTCTTGCCTGAGGCAAGAAGTAATAGGCATTAATGCTCTATTTATACCTAGAACGCACTTCGATCACCTGGCTTTGGGGGAATTAGTAAGTAAACAAGAAATTTGGTATATTGCCATGAAAGTCAAACTTTTATGAGTTTTATGCCTTTCGACTCGCAAAGCTGGAACTCGAAGACTCTGCACATCCAAACGCTCATTAGAAAAGGCTCAAAGACAATTGTTCGGCACATGATCGAAAATTTTTGTATATGATCAAACGTAAGAGAACACTCGTACATGTTTATTCGACTTGCCTAAAGCCCGTTAACCATTGTGAAAAAAAGCAACAAAATGCTGCCAGAGTGATAAGCAACGTTACTCATATAGAGGACGTTTACTTTCCAACAAGCCGTTAGTGTGATCCTGGATCTTATGTTAGTACTAGCTGGCATACAGACTCCGCTCGGCCCTGTCAAAAAGACTATGATAAAGATCCCATCCCTATATCTCAACCTTTCCCTGTGCCCACCTCTGCATGCCAATTGCCTATTCCCGCTTCCTTAGTAATCAGCATGCTCACTTACTCCTCTGCGCCAACTCCCAACCCGTAGCGCAAACTTTGAAAAGCAAATCATAGTAAATCGTAGATAAAAGTAGCGGATAATTTTAGAAGCCTTTAATTTTGTTTTCTCGAGTTTTCCAGTTCGTAGTCGAATTTTTCACTCTAATTCTCAAAAGTTGAAAAAAAAAATCAATGATAGCTTTTATGAGTTGTTCCTAGCTTTTCTCTAATTTTATGCCGCTTGAGGCTTGACATTTTGGGCTTCGAAACGCTTATAAAGTTTTTCGAAAGGCGTTCCTCGAAGAAGGAAAGCAGATTTGGAAACATCATTAAAAGATGCGAATAGTGATATGCATCTCGTCTTCAGTCGCCAAGTTAAGTTGGTGTCCTGATATCCTTTCCTTGCGTCGCGTGCAGGTCCTATATCGCTTGCAACAAATCCTATCACCTTCAGATACTCCGATGCCTTGAGACCGGCAAAACACATTCTGTGGGAAAGGTTTATTACTTCCAACAATCCTTCTGGACTCAAAATCATAGTTCAATCCTGTGTATTGTAGAATTATCAGTCGCTCAACGAGAGTTCGCTGACACTTTGAAGGAAATGAATATCGAGGTTGAACACTCAGCAGCGGACAGCGAAAAAGCATTCGGTAGTTTTCAAAAGTTTTAGAAAATATTCTTATCTCCTAATTAAGATAAATGCTTGCATAAGTTTGGTCAAGTCGTCGGTGAAGTCGAAGTAGAGCGCATGCAGCTTCTTGACAAAGCAGAATTCGAGTGCTTGAAACGTCTTGAAAGGTAACCATTTTATTAGATTATTTATATGTTATCATGCTGTTGCTGCATGATTCCGTCATTCTAACAATTTACTGATCCGCGAAGATGCAGAGCCCCTAACAAGGCTTGACATTTTCATTTTCTGTTTGATCAAATTAAAACTGCTTTGTGCTGTCAAGTATTGTCTCCATATGTACATGCCATGGTATCCAAAAGTTCATGTCTTTTCCCTAATAAATTGAAAAGGAGTATGAAGGAGTTCACAAGCAGCAACAAGGAAGCAGACCTAATTCAACACTTTCGAAATTTTTAAGAATTATCGATATTTCTCTATCTCCGTTGTACGTACGTATTGATTGCACTGAATTGCTTGGTGAACACTGCTTTGCATGTAACATTGACCTTGTCGTAAGGAAGAAAGCGAGGTGGCATTGCCTTTCTTTTACAGCAATGAAACATGCATTCACGCGGTAGCTATCAATTAAGAAATGAGAAGATTTTTAGAAGCTTTTCTCATTTTCGATCTCCTAATTTGGTAGCTCGCTGATCCTGAAAAAGTTGATATTATCGTAATCACACTATATTTTGAAACAGAGAAGAATGGCAGAACTCAATAAGCAAGAACGTGAAATTTAATTGACTAACCACTAAACGGGATAAAAATTGGCATGGTAGTACTTACTGAGTGAAGGCTACAAATCTTTTTTGCATGGCTACGAAAAGATGCAATACGGAAAGGATAAAAGAGAGAAGATAGTATGAAGTTCGCAGAATAGTAGAAAACGGCGCGATTTACAGATGTTTCTACAAGCATTGTACGCAATTCAAGTATGCGCCACTTTTCAAACTGAAGAAATCTAGTAAAGCATTGAAAGAGTGTGGTTAAGGGGTTGTTCAAATAAGAACGTCCGAAATGCGCGTGTACCAAGATGGGATCACGCGCATGTTAGCAGTACACCGTTATGTAAACATATACAAAACTCAAAGTTTGGATCAAGTAAGCTTCCATGAAGAATGTTCCGAATAGATATTTATCTGAGTGAACCATTGAGCTTGAACCCGAACTTTGCACACATACCTTTCCAGCCCGGCGTATATTATAGGCTACTTCGTGACGATTTAGCAGGTCCTTCTATCGATTTATTGATTTGTTTACTTACAACTGAGATAAAGGCTTATAGAGTTGAAAACCATTCTTCCGAGATACTGTATAAATCGCAGCGATATGCCTCATTCTTAGTTGATGAGAAGTGTAGTCGAAGTTGATTGTTATTTGTGTGCAAAAATGATGGCCTACAGTTTCTAGATTGTAATGTTTGAATGCCAAGTTCGTTTCATGAGTGTGAATAGCTCTAAGTCCACATTATGCAAGGTCATCATGACTGCGTAATAGTAACAAAACCAAATTCTATTTTTGGCACACATATAGAAGACATAAGAGTGTCTCATAGCAGCAAAGTTCTTGGTTATGGAGTGAGCAAATGCGGAGATGTTAAAAAATCATAGGAACTATCCTGCAAATGAAAAATCTAGGCAACACTTACTCTGTACGGCAAGTTTCATTATAAAGTGCGGTTCAGAATCGTACGAACACCCAAAATTTTGTAAGTTTTCGGACTTTTTGGGAGAAACTCAAAAAGTCGTTGGTACCACGCGATAGAACACAGCCGAAAACGGTATGTGATTCATGAGAATGGAAATCGATGTCAATTGTAGGAGTGTTTTTGCGCCTAATGCGAATTTTTAGCAGTTCATAATTATACGAACACCTCAAACAAAAGTCCATTTTTCATTCAAGATCGCAATCGTTTGAGTCCAAATTTTTTGAAAAGTTACAGTAACAAAGTCTGACACATCTGCTACACACTGAACCCAGTGCAGTTCAAAACGAAAACCGTTACTTCTTTCAAAAGGCTCTAAATGCTTTTGGAGTGATTGAGCTCCAAAAACATCCGTTCTTCTGTGGTTTATGCGCTCTAATTAGCTTCTACCAAAGCTATAAGATGAAATAAGCTCTTGCGATAGGTATTTTGTTTAACGCTTGGAAAATCTTTGCGTTTTCGCGCCGTTTTTCAACCAAGTTCCAACCTTATCACAGAGTTAGCACGATCTCGAGCCTCGAAACTCAGCTTCTCTCTTGCGCAAACATTTGATATGAAGCAGCTGCATTGCTTGCATGATGATGTTTCTGTGCCAAAGTTTTTGGGTTTTTTCTGAATTGATCTTGCGGATGTGGAGCTACAAAGCATATAAAGATGCGATTGCAATATAAAAACAGTATTTCTGGTGAAATAACGTCTGCGTGACCAAAACAAACGCTCAACGTTGTTGATTTTTTCTAGCCAAATACACAGTCTTGTGAACTTCTACATACTATTTGCTTACTTCATTGTAGGGCTTTCGAAGCTGAGTTTTGAGGCTCGAAATCGTGCTAACCCTAAGGCAAGTTTGAAACTTGGTTGAAAAACGGCACGAAAACGCATAGATTTTCCAAGCGTCAAACAAAATACCTATCGCAGGACTTATTTCATCTCATAGCTTTGGTAGAAGCTAATTAGAGCGCGTAAACCATAGAAGAACGGATGTTTTTGGAGCCCAATCACTCCAAAGGCATTTAGAGCTTTTGAAAAAGGAACGGTCCTCTTTTTGAAATGCACTGGGTTTAGTGTATAGCAGATATGTCAGACTTTGTTACTGTAACTCTGCAAAAAATTTGAACTCAAATGATTGCAATTTTGTATGAAAAATGGCCCTTTGTTTGAGGTGTTCGTATAATTATGAACCGCTGAAAATTCGCACTAGGCGCAAAAACACTCCTACAGTTGACATCGATTTCCTCTCTTATGAACCATATACCGTTTTCGGCTGTGTTCTATCGCGTGGTACCAACGGCTTTTTGAGTTTCTCCCAAAAATTCCAAGTTACAAAATTTTGGGTGTTCGTATAATTATGAACCGCACTTCAGAGGATATTTCAAAAAATGAGCAGTTGCTTGATTTTCTTGGGTCGAGCGACAAAGCAATGTGGACTGGGTGGTGAAGAATAAACTTGATTGGGGAGGCAGGACGGAAGATGATTCTCAACGATATGAATGATGGTTCACATAATCGCCGGGGGCAGGCGGCCATGCGATTTATGGGTGGGTGTGCACCGGAAAAATAGTTCGCTGATTTCTTTTGGTCCGCTTGCAGATATTTGGAAGAATTTTAGCGAAATTTTGAATGAACGCTTGGAGAACAGTCGCGGTTTCCTTTTAGATTAGCTGCGGCGCAGTGGCTGCATTCTCGCAGACTTTCTGCGAGTTACTAACCAGTTGACTAGTTGACTTACCCGGCTCCGCCCGGCCCTGTCATTATTATATTCGTAATCAGCATGCTCGATTACCCCGTGTGCCAACTCCCAGCCCCGTAGCTCAAATTTTGCAAAAAATCGATAAAATCGATATCGGTCGATGACGAAAAGTAGCCTATGACACCCGCCGGGGCCCGAAGTGTATGTGTGCCAAGTTTGGTATCGGTTCAAAAATGGAATTTTCTATTCGGAACATACGTACAGACATACAGACAGACAGACAGAAAAACAGACATTCAGCTTTATATATAAGAAGATTGTCGAAAGCCGCACGGTCCTTGTGGAGGACCGCGCAGCCCTCAGGTACTTTCCGCTGAAAGAAAGTACCTTAAACTTGAGTAATTAAACCAACGGCGACACTTCTGCCACACAGAGTCTTACCTGTGCTCGGCGTACGCCCGAAACTGCGTAAAAAGAGTTCGAGCGCCTGCTGAAAGTTCGGCCAGCGTTTGCTGAAAGAGATTATTTGACGAGCGCCTACAGAAACTTGTGTATTGCTGCCCGCTGGCAGAACATGCGACAGCAGAGGAAGTACCGCTCGCTGAAATTTGGCCACGCCCCAAAATTTTGCTGACCGCTTGCGGAAAAGCACGAGTTTGCGGACCGCCTGCCCCCGCCGATTATCTGAGGATATGCTAATCAGACACATCCATTCGGCAATGCTCACGCATTGGAACACCACATTGATAGCGCGATACCACATCCATGGCAGCCAATAAGAAAACATGCAATGAAAAGGTAAACCTCAATACCGAAATGATGAAAAAGACAAGAGAAGGAGAAAGGTTTGGAGAGCGTAAGGCAGGCCTTAAAACAAAACGTCTTCTTGTTTTTCCATTCTTTCTATCCTTAACGGATCATCTTTTGCATCACACAAGAGCCGGGCAGCCGGGTGCATCAGCTAGTTTAAAATACGCTGTGAACAGACAGTTTAGTCAAACAATGAACTTTTCTCGAAATTTCTCCATTTTTACGAAATCACTGACGCGCCAAACTGTTGGTCTTGGAGGAGATGCGTTGATTGTCGAGATTGCTTTGCTGTAAATTTGTGTCTGTGAAGATTGAAGCAGCATTTATATTTGCCTCAAATCCTTTTTTATTTTAGGTTCCGAGAAGATGACGCAAAAAAAGTCTTACAAGAGGAAAAGAAAAAATATGCAAAGGAAGCTAAGAAGTTCCAGCAGAATCAAAACAAGTATCTGAGTATGAAAACGGCAAGTTCGAACTTTCAGATATTCTGCTTCAAATATGCTTGATATTCGTTTGAGGAAAGGGTCGAGCGCTTCAGTGAACAATGTTCCGTACTTTGTTGTCCGCAGGCATTTTTGGTCGAGAGTAGAATTGCTTGCCAGAAAAGTGTCATCTTTTCCACTTTCTGTCCAATCTGTATTTCGAGTCGGTATAGAAAAATACTCACATCATATGACAATAACGGTGGCAAAAAACTTAGTTTTTTCCAAAACATCCAAAAGTAATGTGACAATAAGTATTGATTTAGCAGCCTTTTGTTGATTGTCTTAAGCAGAGTTGAACATTCGATAGTGTATGTTTTCTCACAAGATGCACAATTTGATGAAAGGAAGATTCGCTTGCAAACCAAATCATACTCCCTCCGCATAACTCACAAAAACGAGAATAGCCACCACCGCATTTCAAAATTTTTCAAAACATAGTGTCTTTTTGGAAACTCTGCTTCATGTAACTAACTAACTGGTTCACAATCAGCCCGGATCGCGGATTAACCTGGACTGCGGAAAATATATGGTCCAAAGCCTAAATCTTATCCTAACTCCGTTTCATTTTTGTTTTACTTTTCGCACAAACTCTCCTTTTCCTCTTTCCGCTACCCCCTTCTGCAGGCACTTGTATTACATTTATCTACCTTTTAGTTGAGAATGGAGGAGTGGGATGGGAGGCTCCTTCCCCCGACTCCCCCGTCGCGAAAGGTTTGAAAGTTACTACATGAGTTATAAATCGTGTAAAACGTGCATGTGATTTGTCTACACCTCTAACTTCTTCGAAATTTCTTCAAAAACTTGCATTAGCATTGGATAACACTACCTCTAATATTTTAGAGTTATGAGTACGCAGAATTCTTAGAAAGTGTGCCGACTTTGTCGGCACCTTTTTTGCAACTTATCATTATTTCTCTGAAGCACCGTAAAGGTCATGCCATAGGCATGACCTGCTGTGATGAGTGTTTTATTGCCCAAATGTTTGTGGTACTACTATCCACCCTTCCGCCCTCAGAATCCTACCACTGTACGAATAGGTGTATGTCGTCCATTCAAAAGCTCTAATAGCTTACGTGTTCCAATAACACACCAGGAATCACCATAATCCACTATAGGCGCCACCCGTACGCCTAAGGCTACAATAAAACCTATAGCCACCACATTTTTGCATAAATTATGAGCTAGAGAACCATCCGACATAGCTTTTTTCCTCTTTAATCCTTCTTTTCTTCTTGGTCAGTAAGAGCGGTTGCTTTTCAGTGTTAATGTTAAATGTTTGAAGTTGTGTGTTTGGTTGAAGTGAAGGCTTTCGCAGAAATTTGCTCTAAAGTATAAAAATCCAGTTGAAGATGTCCAAATGATTCATTGTATTGCACATTTTTACTCTAGCCAAGTGTAATCGAAGCTCTATCAAAAGTCTGAAACGAAAATTTAGATAGCTAAAATTGGAGTGGGAAAAAGCATGGGTTGCAGCTTCTTGAATGTTGATTGTTTTCGAATGTTCAAATTTTCATTAAAAAATCGGAACAAAAACGTCACTGCTCCTAGTACGCTCTGATCACTTATGTTCTAGAAAGTCCTCTATAGAATTTGCGGAGACAGAATCAAATTTGCGCGTATAATTTTACAGCCGCCCACAATCACAAGATGAGAACCGCAGTAAATATCTAATGTAAGTATGTACTATGCGTTGGTCAATACAGTACTTGACTTCACGGTTTACCATCTAACGCGCCCAACCCGGAAAAAACTATTGAACTTGAGTGGAGTAACGTATTTTCATGGGTATATCCATACTCTTTGTTAAAAACCATTCATAAAACGTAATGCGGGTTTGCTGCGGTACATTGGCTTGCAATACATGATTTTTGCGACATCCAAACCTATGTTAAGCAAAGATCACGGAGGTCTCGTTTGAATATGGGCTAATAAACCTCTGAATGGCACTAACTTTTTTTGCTGTGCGATAGTTTTTTTTGTTATCTAATTACAAACGTACTAGCAATAAAATCTCCTCTTACACGTACTTTCTTGCATTTTTCAAAATTTGCCTCTTTCCTTTTTCATACTGAGGCGACTTTGATCGCTGTTCGATTCGATATACTGAAGCGGCTCATTTATAGCAACGGTCCTAAGCAAGCTTTGCTTGGGCAAGACCTAATGCGTTTATGACAACACACAAACTTCGAGTCTCTGAATTCGAAAACCTCACCAATAAGTAGACATCTGGCTAATATCTAAAGGACTTATCTTTTTGAATCGCGGGAGGTATGCCTTAGGCCGCGTTCATACTGATGCCGAAGTCCGGGAACCGTTCCAGCACAGTGCTCGAGTAGAGAATTTTGACCGTCCTCAACGGTTTTTCTTTCAGATTTCTTTCATTCTGGCCTTATCCCTCCACCCGGCTTCCCTTTTTGACCAGCAGAACTTCGAACCCGAAGCGGGTTTGATGAATGAACGCTGTTCTGCTCCATGTATCCGGGAAGATGGGCCTTCACGCGCTCGTCCATCTTCTCTGTCATTTTTGTGCAGGCCTTATCCATGTGTTCCCGAGACCTGTGTATATCAATTTCAATACGGATGCAAGACTACGCAGCCCCTCCTAGAACAAATGAAGTAATTTTGAGCAAAAATAGCGAAGAGAGAATGGACGAGCAGAAGAACACACGTTTTGTCGCATACGCAGAGCAGAAAAGCGCTCATTCTTCAACCCCGCTCCGAGTTTGAAGCTCTGCTGATCAAAAAGGGAAGCGAGTGGAGGAATAAGGCCAAAATGAGAGAAATCTGAGAGAAAAATCATTGAGAACGGTCAAAATCCTCCAACTCCCGCCGTTTAAAACGGTGCGGGGCGGCTGCAGTGCATACAGCACAGTTCCGGAACTGTTCCCGCACAGTTCCAGCACAATGCGAGAGTTCCAAAGCAATTCTAAAACATGGGAATCAGTATGAACCCAGCCTGAGGCCTCAGAAAAAGGATAAGGCGTTTCACTACTAACGAGAAACACTAAAAAATTCGACTAACCGCGTAGTTTTACCTTCGAAGTCGAATAGTGTAGAAACAGTTTGAGACTTTGTACTTTTTACGTCCTTCTGCTTTCTTTCTTGAAGTTTAAAGCATCAAACTCTTTTGTTACTATGCATCACGTATTAACTACGGGATAGACAACTGCATTTATTAGAGATCATTCATAAAAGACAAGTGCTTGCAGCAGTAAAATATTACGAGGTCTTCCAGAATAATGTGCGCACTGTTCTATTGCTAATAACTCGTACTTCGATGTCATTCGCCAATCTTAAAAGCCATTGTATGCAGCTTGCCTCAACTTAGACTTGTATGGAGCGACTAATCGTGACCATGGTGTACAAATTTCATTTCAGAAAGCGACTTTGATTCGCCTATCATGAGGGTTTCTGCCTTATTTGTCTTTCTTCTTGAGGCAACACTCTTTACGACTTGAAACCTTTCCAAAGTTCTCACCGTAATCCTACAGTAAAGGTGAGAGATCAGAGTTTCGCTTCGTTTTAAAAGACTAAGTTGAAGCAGGCGCTACAGAATGGTACCTGTCAGCAAAAGACATCGAAGGAAGCGAGCATTAACGATCAAACAGTGTGCACATTTGAGCGCTGCAATCCTTTGATCATTTTATCAAGTCAGTCATTTTCAGGAACGTGCCAAAGACTTTCGCGAAGCCGACATACAGATGAACAGGCAGCAGGAAGAATTTCGCAAAGCCTCTCTGCAGTATGCAGCGGATTTGAAATTATTTCAAGGAAAAATGCAGTTTGAGTTTTTGGACACCCTCAGCACTTTTCTTAATGCTTGGATGAACTTCTATCACGCTGGTAAGTCTTACTTTAGCTCTAGATAATTTTCTGAATTTTTGAAAGGTTATGATTGCATGTCCATCCTTGCGCTTGATAGCAGCGCTCTTAAAATTGTGTTTTGTAAGTGCGATTGAAATGCGGTAATCTCATGTTCTTCTGGCCACACGTAACTTTTGTGGCCTTAGCGAAGAAGAACTAACGGTTTAACCGATTTGCGCAACTTAGTTTGGCCCGCGTTTTGTTTTGAGGTACATGTGTATCAGTGAGGTCCATTGACACATTTACCAGGCCAGAAATGCAGAACGGATTCAATTGCGTAGGTATGCCGTGAAGGCTCAAAACAAATAAGATGCAGAAAGTAGAAGCCGTCAAATCGTTATTTATTTTCGAAATGAACTACAATCCCACTCTGTCGCGAATTGGGCTCCAGACGTCAGTAGTAAGGAACTCTCCTGCATCGGTGGCAAAAGCTGAAACTCATGCGAGGAATGAGACAATGGCGCATGGGGAAAGGTAGCGTGCTTGCGCACGCTTTCATGGTCCGTCAGGACGCATATACAACAAACAAGTTACAATGAGTCTAACGGAGCCAGCGCCGCGTAATGCAATCACATATCTACGCGAGCGTTACCTATGTGCAGCGTACGGGAACCATACCCTCGATACATAGAGCCACGTACTCTGGTAACCTTCACTTTGAGTGCTATGAGGGGACACAACCTTCACCTGGAAAAAACAGAAGTCATCCGGGGCGAAGCCCCGGATTTTATTATCCTGACCTAATATAGGGAATAATATCGTTAGCTTATCTAAGCGAAACCGAGGATTTGCGTTCTCATAGCCTTTTTGCGTTGAAAAGAAGGTTTTTGTGGAATTTTGGCCAGAATTTAGGACAAAATTTCTCAGTTAACTTCTAATTTGACCAAAATCGAGTTTAAGAAGTTTAGGAAAGCTACTGGAGTTAAATAAAAATGAGAAACTGCGCTTAAATCTCGCGCAGAGACACGCGCACGATAACGCTGGTCTATCTCGTTAACATACTTTCGATAGTCAAGAGACAAGGGCTTGAAAGTGATAGTTGTTTGAGTTCTTGCCCCCTATAAAAAGTGAAGGTTGTTTCAGAAAAATAGACGAAAATTTAAAGATACTAATTAAATTAGAAAACTCAGAAAATTCATATAAAGCAGAGGTTAGCACATCACCAAATCTGAAACCTTAACTTGGTGGTTTCCTACGCAGAGTTTCGTCTCCAGGATTGCCGTTAAAATTGGGTGGCAACAACAACAAAGTTCTTTTCCAGTCAAAAAAAGCGCTGTTTAGCTGTGGCGTTAGTTGGGAGGCCGAAAGAAGAAGAACTTGTCAACAACTGAATTGAACATGTTAAACATGTCTGTAAAGTTGTGTTGCACATCGACGCCAATCTGATTTTTGATGCGTCCTTCAAATTTTCACCCCCGCATAGTCATTTCGTACGCTGCGACGTTGTCTGGATTCTTCCGCTCATCATTCTGAGCAAGTATCGTCCAAGCTGGAAAAAATTCGCTGCAAAAGCACAAAAAGAGAACAAGGTAAAGAAAAACGCACTTTTTTGTATTTTTCACAAAAAAACCGGCATAAGCAAAGAAGTAAGCTCGCCGACGTTGTCTACATCATAGACAGAAACAAGACCTATCGAATGCACAAAAAAACCGAGTGAAAAAAGTTAAACTGAAGAAAAAACAAGAGGTTTTCGAAAACATCGTTTTTCGAGGATTTCTCGTTTAAATCCCAAAAAGAAGTTCCGCGACGTTGTCAGCGTGAAAATAGAGATCAAGAGCTTTAATATGATATATAGATTATCGAAATTGGGCTCCGAACAACGAAGAAAAGGGTACCAGAGCCAAATGCCCCGCGCCCCGCATTTGAGGTAGCGAGGTAGCGCGCAGCGCGCGGAGACGCAGACGAGCAGCGGAGACAGACCAGAGCCGACGGGGCATTTGGCTCTGGTCGTGGATCTTCGCAGGGTCTCAACGAAACCCTGCAAAATTATATATCGTTGTGATCCTCATGAGACGGCCAGGAGCACTGACAACGTCGCGGGTCTTGAAAATCACTCCATAACGAGATAGACCAGCATTCATATGGGGACTCTTTGCGCAAGATTTGAGCGCAGTTTTTAGTTTTTATTGAACTCTAGCGGCTTTAATGAACTTCCAACATTCAACCGCAGCCCAGAGAAAGGTTAATTGAGAAATTTTGCCCTAGTTTTTGATAGAATTTTTAAATTAAAACCTTCTTCTCAACAAAAAAGGCCATAAAAACGCAATCCTTCGGTTTTTTGAGCTTCTTTTGAATGTCACTGCTATATTTGCCTCATTTAAATTCATCCCTGTACAATTATGTCATTAGTTATGTCATAATTTCCGGGGCTTCGCCCGGATGACTTCTGTACTTCTCCCCTGGTGAAGGTTGTGTTCTATCATGACGCTCAAAGTGAAGGTTACCAGAGTACATGGCTCTATGTATCGAAGGTATGCTCGTTAATGAGTGATTTTCAAAGCTTGGGACGTTGTCAGTTCTCCTTCGTGTCATGGCGATCAGAATGATATGTAATGTTGCAGGGTTTCGTTGAGACGCCGCGGAGATCTACGACCAGAGCCAAATGCCCCGTCGGCTCTGGTCTGTCTCCGCTGCTCGTCTGCGTCTCCGCGCACTGCGCGCTACCTCGCTACCCCAAACGCGGGGCGCGGGGCATTTGGCTCTGGTACCCTTTTCTTCGCTGTTTCGAACCCAATTTTAGCAATCTCTATATCATTTTGAAGCTCTTGATCTCTATTTTTACGCTGACAACGTCCCAGAACCACATTTTTCAATCTGATCGAGAAATCTGGCAAAAACCTTGTTTTCAAAAATCTCTTGTTTTTCTCCTAGTTTGACTCTTTTCACGCGGTTTTTTTGTGCATTCTATAGATCTTGCTTCTGTTCATAATCAGACAACCACCCAGCCCTTACCTCTTCGACTATGGTGAGATTTTTGCAAAAAACCGTAAAAAGTGCGTTTTCCTTTACCTTGTTCTGTTTTCGTGCTTTCGCATCGATTTTTTTCCAGCTTGGGCGATTGTTGCTCAGAGCAATAAGCGCAACAATCTAGACAACGTCCCAGGAAACAGGAACGTCAATGCGGGGGTAAAAATTCAAGGGACGCATCTAAAATCGAAACCCCGTGTTGCAGTTGCTGGTCCTGGAGCGAAGACTTGCACTTTGAAAAGCCTCCAAATGAAAAATTGCAAACGTCATTGCATTTATCCGGTTTTCAGCAGTTTCTTTTGCTTTTTTATCTGTTTTACGTCATTTTCTCTTCTCTGGTCTTCTTTGAACAACCTTCACTGTTAATGATGTCAGATGTTCAAACAACCTTCACTTTTGGCGCCCTGTCTCTAGACTATCGAAGGTATGACGGGAACCATCCTGCGCACAACATTGCGGGCTTTGTTTTTATCACTTTATCTCATAATTTTCCGTTTTCATAGCAATGGATTGTCATTTTTTTGTTATGCTCATATGCGATCTGTCTAAATATCGGATACGATTTTTGAGAGTTTTTTCTCACTACGTCTTTCAATTCATCCAGGACCTTCTTCGAATGGCTAACTCGGATGTCATGATTCATTATATCGAGTCGTGTTTCAATGAACATAATCGAGTATCGTTTAAGATTTGAGTGAACAGCGCCAACGTGCTGTTCAGTCAAACTTTCTCTCAACTCGATATACGATTTATCCTCACGATATTCACCTTTAGCTGTAAAAGAGAATTATCATTCTCGGAATTCTCAAAATGATTCAGATTACATATTCTTTCAAAAACCTTAAACCTTCATTTTATCTCCCATTCGGGCGATGATACTTTGAGAAATCTCTGGAGGTACTGAAATAGAGGTTCGGACAAAACTCAGAAATTTCAAAGCAGAACAGAGAATAAGCTAAGAAAAAAGCAGGAAGAGTATAAGCTCTTGCAAGACAAAGGCGGTCGGTTCAGCGACGTGACTGTGACGCAGCCGTGTCACAGCTGCGTTGCAAATCAAATCGACCGCCTCGCAAGAGCTTATAGCTAAAACAAGGACTACGCCGCTTTGCGCAGCATATGGCCTCCGCGCACTGCATACGGTAGCGCTCGCGCGCGGGCATGTGGCTGCACTGCGCGGCGATGGCCGCATTAGACGCATTGTAGAGGCCCTAGGCTATCGACCCACTCCTTATTTGATTGCCAGCTAACTCACGATGCTACTAACACTGTCGACGGTTATGGGTCTTGAGTAGCTTGCGCACTACCGCTGACCGCGTACGCATTTTTGCTGACGGAGACTTTCTGGACGTCAAGTTAACAGTGAATACGCTTAGCATGAAGTTGTGATTGGAAGTGGGAAGCCTGTGGCACAACGCTGCTGTTGATATACTACATTCCAGAGTGCCCACAATTTGTCCACAATCTGAACCGAAACAAACAACTCATAAGGAAAGGCTCGCAAGTCAGCTTAGGGCCAATCCTGGTGAGGCATATATCAAAATGAAGCGCTTGAAACGCTGATTTCAAATCTGTCTATCTAGCTGCGGAAGGACGGTTATAGAGGGAATTATGAGAGACTTTCCCTCCGAGATGGCAGCGCCTTTCAACATGTCAATTCTTATAACTGGACAATACGGAAGCACTCAACGGTGATGGGCAAAGTAATAAGTAAATTGTTGATAAGGATCGAATCTCCTCGCCCGCAATCCTTTTGCATATCTTGGAATGAACTCGAGTTTTTAGATGACTTTGAACACTCAAACCCAAAATTTAGATACCTACTTAGATAGATAATTTAGATATATAATTTGAATTATAAGATGTAGATATTCAAAAAGAAGCCGAAAAAATCACACTGTTACATGATTTTCCGTCATTATGATTTTCGGCACAGAAGAAGGGACACTATTCATATTCATACTCAATGTAAACACACATGGATGCGTTTTCGTGGTTTAAAGTGTGATGTTTGCGATTGGCATGTTCAATGACCCCCACAGATCAAGGCTGAGCAAGTTCCATGACACCAAAGTTTCAAGGCCCCGTACTGAGATAGTTTCCAATTGCTTATTTCGAAATCTTTACTTGAACAATAACGTCATGTGATAGTGTAGCTTTCGGGCTTTCGATTTTGAAATGAATCCAAATTTTGTTTTAGAGCTCAAAATCCATTTACAAGTTGCGACATCTTGTGAGCAATGCAAAAGGTTGCACGCTACAAGAGTAGAACCTATGACTCTTTGCTTATCAAGTATTACTTTGCCAGCCGCCATCGTTTTGTACTCCTTTACGCTGCTCTACACAAGAGTTGATATATTAATTGGCGCATCATCACGGAGAGACACATCCTCGTAACTCCCTCCACAGAACCGTTCGCGCTAGAAACGAAGATCTGGAATCAGCATTTCAAGCACTCTGATAGGTGAGATATATGCCTTATCAGAGGCCGAGATAACTTGGCAACATTCTTTTCGGTACAATGGGTTGAGAGCACGGCGGCCAAGGATATTACCTAGAATGATGTTATTATGTTGTAAAAAAAGTTCCCGGACACTTTTGAAAACTTCATTAAACGCATTTATTCGGCGCTCGGTCGGACTTTGACACCAAGCTTTTTATACTGTTTAGTAGAGGGAAGACTGAAGTTTTCGAGGCGCCTTCTGACTTTTATCGATGCCAAAACGTGTTTGATCTGCACATCAAGAACAGAAGTCTTTCCAACCACAGAAATTTCACAATTTTTCTTCCTACGTTCGTTCTTTTGTGCAGTTAAAAGAATTTCGTCCAAATCATGAGTGATTGAGAAGACTACTAACTTTTGAGAGAAATTACAAGCTGTCGAACTTGCCTCTGACTGCAACTCTTTTCCCAGCTGGCGTCGCTTCTGCGGGGATCGCCACGCCTGGATGATGTGTCCAAAAGATGTGTAAGGCATTACTCCAACAATGTTCACAGTAATCAAAGATTTGGTCCACCCTAGGCAGAAGACAAGACTTCAAAATCACTTACTCGAAAAATGATGCATTTTTCAGGGCAAAAAATGGTCGATTTTTCAAACTTTCTGGGATAAATACAGTCTGCCCCAATCCTAATCAGGCCAAAATTGGCATGGCGGGAGTCCGCGCCGCTAGGGTTTCGCGGACATGCCCACGGTCTGCTTCTCTGCTCTCTCTTCAATCCTTTGACTCTCTCCGTCAGCGCACACATGCAGCGCAGACCGCTAGCGCTGCGAGCGCGAGAATTTAGGTCGGCGCTTCGGCCTGTATTTTTGCAGGTGGTCGCTCAAAAACATGAATGGTCCCCATAACAGTCCCAGCAGACTTCTATATGACTACAGCATCTGAGCTCTCCAGCTCTCATCCTGCCTGAGATAATCCTGCACAAATGAGCCACTTTTCGCGACGACCTTTTTCCCTTCTGCGCCTTCTGCGCATGCTGGTGGACCGCAGTGATGTGCTCAGAAGCTAGCAAGACAAATATATGTTGTGGACAAAATTGTTTTTGCAATGAATTTAGTAGCTTCAAGAAGGAATCAATCTGCTTGAAGTTACAGCGACTTGAAGAGAATTTTCGCAAGTGCTCGGGAACTTTCTTTATAACCTAATAGATTTGTTAGATGTTACCTTTTCTCACGCATACAATGCAAATATTCAATCGTATAACAAATTTGGGGAATGCCATTGGTCTGAAGGAAGATTGATTGGCGTCGTTCTCACTCCCCTTCCCCCCCCCCACTAGACACCTGCTGAACAATGGATTTCAGGTGCAGCAGACCCAGTAAATGTAGGGGTACGACATCCTCGACTCTCATTTTGATTTACCATAGATGGTGACATGCACAACCGTGAATGGCCTGCTCCTGTTCAAATTCAAAATCATCCACCAGTTGCCCACTAAGATAAGGACGACTATGGCTCTCAAAGGCATCGTTCAAGCAAAATCCATGTTTCCTTAATTAGGTATTCAGAGTTCTCCAAGTAAGCCCTAAAAGTGAAGCATCCGTTGGTTCAAACCTTCAGGTGGCTCTCAAAAAAAAGGAATGTACCATGCAGTCAGTGCAATGAAGGCCATAATCCGGTCATCTAGGGGCTGCTCTTCCGCGTTCTGGCATTGGTAACACAGACAAGACATGCTGTTAGCTGTTTCCCTCTTGCATTGTTCTTACCGTATGTTTGCTCTCTCTTATCGAGGGCCACATCAGCGCCAAACCCCGGAAACACTTTCCTTTTAGACCACTTCACTACATGCTAATCAGGGTTACTCAGAGGTGCACTTATGTTCTTGGCATTCGTACAGCCTACTAGGTCACTCACTATTCGGCCCCCTTTTGCCTCACTCTTTACTGCATATACGCGAAAGCTGCAGTATGCCAAGTCTTCTCAGCCCTAATTTAGCAGGCTAATTTTTCAAACGAATAGCTGTTGAACGTTTGATGTTCTCAACAATTTTTCCCGTCACAGGTAATGCTATCCAAGAGAGCCTCAGACCATTTGTGGTCGACGTCAAGGACGAGGTATCCAAGGTGAATATTCACTAGTGTGAGTATTCATGTACTCTTTCAAACTCTGCATTTGAGGCAAAAGAGCGTTACACAAAACTGGCTTCGGAGACGCCGGATATCACCGAGGATATGCTCCAAAATGGGCCTCGACGTGCAGTGAGGCTTGACCCATGTAAAAGTCTAGTTCATCTTTTGCTGAATTGCACTTCAGAGTCTAGTCAATGATACAAGATTTGAATTTGCTTCATGTGGATCAAGAAGGCCAATCAAGGAAGGCTATGTCAATGTGCAAGAAAAGAGTGAGCGCTGCATACTTTAATTTTTGACTCTTTGCACTTCTTCGTAAATGTTCTATAGAGACCTACAACAATTATACAAAGCCACGTTCTGTTAAAACCATAATCTAACAGTAAGATGCCGGCAATGATGTTTTTCAAAAGCCTAACAAAAGTTTCGCACTTCTTTTCCAGGAGCCTAACAAAAGTTTCGCACTCCATATTTACCGTTACGCTTTCGGAGCGGTAGTAATCGCCACCGCTAGCTCCGACAGCACAACGGCAGCGTCGGGCAAATTTGAGCGCATGGATTTTTTCCCTAGAAACCGATGCCGAGGTCCTAACTAAGGCGCTGCCAAACAGCAGCGCCCATGATTCATTCACGGCTGAGGAACCCGTCCACAAACACTCCGCCCCCGCGCCGTGACCGTAACTCGCGAGTGGCTTAGACGAGCGAGAACGTGGTGTTAAAGTGAGCGGAGTCAGTTTTGGATTAGGTCATGGCGCAGGCGCGAAGGTGTTTGGGAACGGATTTCTCAGCCATGAATGGGTCATTTGCGCTGCCGCATGGGAACTGCGTTAGCTAGGATCCCCTCATCAGTTCCCCGGGGAAACTTCATGCGCCCTCTCATCAGATCGCTGCCTTGCCGCTTAGCTTTCGAAGAGAAGGAAATTACACTAATGCATAATTCAATTCAGTATTTATGCCTGTAGGATTTAGCAACCGTTATAATTTTATTGCAGAAAAGTGGACCAAGTACTACGGTGTGTACACGCAAGAGAGTCGCATGCTTACCTTGGTTCCCATAAAACAAGCGTCAAAAGCGGTATGTTGATTATCACGTGATTGAAAGAGAAAAGGCGGTTGGTCAGCAAGTACGTGGCCGACAAGTAGACTTAAAGGCAGCGTCCAGGCAAATCTGGGCTTATGGAGATCTCACTTGGAGGGTGATCTTGGAGTCTAACTAAAACACTGTCCAGACGGCAGCTCAAATGGTGAGCTCACAGTTGAGATATTCGCCCCCTAACTGCACCCCCGGAATCGTATTCACATGGATTCATGGCGCAACACGTGAGGACCCACGCGTGTCGCGCCATGAATCCATGCGAACACGATCAAGGGGTCCAGTTTGGAGGCGAATGTCTCAACAGTGAGTTCACCATTTATTAAGCTGCCCCTTGGGCAATGTCTTAGTTAGGGTCCCAAAATAATTTTCCACAAACCCTATTGTCCAGATTTGCCTGGACGCTGCCTTTAGAAACTGATGCCTACATGTATTGGGTCATTCGGAAGTTTCAAAAGTATTAGGTTGGTGCAAAAGTAATGGCCGATTTTCCAAACCTTTTTTCAGGGCAATTTTTCCATCAATACTTCTTCTTTACAATGGATGTGGTATACCATCGCGAAGCTGTTTCCATGCTCTATCTAAGGGTGCTTGAAACGTGCTCTCATCCTCATCTATTATAAAGTCACTGAGCTTCAAATAACCGCATCCAAATTCAGAATTTCATTGCTTTCAATTTTCCTGCCAGAATTCAAGCGCGTATCAATGGGATTTCTTCGAAAATTTAGCTACTGTATGTAATAGAAATTGTCTACATTATGCATACTTGACTGTGTTCTTTGAGGCTATCCAGACTGAGATATCGGCGCCTAAACATGGGTAGCTGTTGCGGTCATTTTATGACCCATAATTTTCTTCTGAAGAAGTCAATCGCCGGAGCTTTGCTCAATTCTATAAGCGTAGGGCTAGGGCATTCTGTTAGCAGTTTTTGCAAAAACATCTAGCTGTTCAGTACCTAGAAAATCAAAAATTCTACATTCGGGACTTTGAGGCACACTGAAAAAGTGTTCAAAAAAGTGAGAAATTTCAAATTTCAATTTTTTTCTTTTTCGCAAACTTTTCTGTCCGAATTCTTTTTATTGGGTTTTGTACTACAGGCTTGCGGCTACGAGATAGGCTACTTAACATTTATACTAACAAACTTTGAAGGAAGATATGAATTGTCAAAGACAAAATTCTAGCAGAAGAACCTTTTCTATTTTTCAATCCATATTTTTCTGCCCGTTCGTGATATGAGTATAAATAAATGTGCGCTGCATTGCAGAAGGTTTGCTGCTTCTAATAGTTTTTACCCCATTCAGAAATGTGAATTCTTCCAAAAGTTATAGCACGTCAAAGTGAGAATTCGCAAATCGGCCATTACTTTTGCACCAACCTAATATCTTTGGCGAGATTGTTGAATGCTTTTTTTTGGAAAAAAGAGAGTTCAAGGGAACAAATTTGTTAGGGCGCAATTTTTGCTCATAGGACTAGCAGGATCCCATCTTTAAGTCCTTCACTCTTTGGAATGGCTATCTGATTCTGACCATAATCCTCGTGCTCCAATTTATCCCAGTGGTTGCTTCTTACTCGTACACAACCCAAAAATAACAATCCCTCAAAAAAGGATTGTCATGTTGAACCTATGAGCAACGACGAGAGTGATGTCAACGCGCCCTCTTGATTGCGAGCTCGCCGGTTCGTAACGTAATTGTTGAGAGTTTTTTTTCCTTTGTTGAAAATAACTCCCAAAAGGACCATGCAAACATCAGATCTGATATTCTCAAAAGGTACATAGTCGATCTGCTTCAACAGCACTCCTCAGATGCTCATCTATATGGCAGATAAGTCTTCCAACAATTGCGAAACTTCAGCGCTCTGTCTACTAGAGATTTTTTGAAGACTTTATATCACGAAGAGCGAAAATGTAGTCTTGAAAAAATGCTCACATTGGTAGCTTCTTCAACTAAATTACGTTACGTTCATTAAACATCCCATTCGTGTCAATTCAAGGCCGTAAAAACTTTCAGGGAAGCGATTGCTACATGATGGGAGAATCGAAGTCCCTTTTTTGCAAATGCTTATATGGAACCCTATCATTTTCTTTATAGTTAAAATATTGCATTACTATCAAGAGCTTAGATAAGGAGGGACAACTTTCCGGGTAACCTAATGAACAACTCGAGAATTTAGTAAGACACGAGTGGCTTACCAACAGAACCATTTTGAGAGTGCTATAGATATTTTCTTACACTGCGAACCAAATTACCGGCTAATCGCATCGCTAAGACTAGTCCAGCTTTTGGGGTAGACTTTTTGAGGATATGAGCGGTTAGCTATCTCAAAGTTGCTTTGTACAAACAAATAAGGATATCGTAGAAAAATTGAAGATTGACAGCACCACTCCACGACGCGATGATGCGCACGGGTTTGCTCGCATATACAGCAAACGAGGTGCGGCTTGTGCACATAGAAATGCCATTCTTACTCTAAATCTGATCTCCTACACTGGTAACGAGAGCTTATAGACGTTGGTATGCACTTGAGCTGCATAGATAATGGGTATCATGAAGTGTATGTCTTAAGCAAATGTAAAATTTGTGTCAAGGTGTCCCAAAATGCGTGAGATAGTACATAACCAGCGAGAAGTCAGCAACTCAAAAATGACTGCCGCTTTGCTTCATTAAGCACACACTTCACTCAGCAAATACGTAATCGTTTAATACAGTGTGCCAAATGTGTATTTTACAATAAGAGGAGTGGGCAGAGTGGGGATTTTTTTGGATGTCTCTGATGTGAAATTGCAGTAAATTTGGTTAAAGTTGTTGCTTAAACCATTTTTTGAAGATATTGCGCGCAGATCTATTACTAACTTATTTTCATTATAAGTACAACGTAGTTACTAGGTATCAAACTGCTTTCGATAGTGATACACGATTTCAGCAAAAAGAGATATTATGGCTTGCAGTTTTTATTGCTATATCTGTATGTTCAAGGATTTGAATGAAGTGTTGGAGACGTCCACATCCTACAAGGTACTGCAGCGTGAACGAGCTCCTTATGACAGAGTGCAGAAACGGTTAGAATTAAAAGTAGCAATCAAATATTCAGTCTCAAATTTTAGATTCTGTATTGACGTAACAGTTGGAGAGCTAATCGATGGATTAGTTCTACAAGCTCTTTCTGAAGAAGATTGTCGAGAATGGGTTGACGCCATGGATGAGAATCAGATTGTCATCAACATGAAGAAATCAAGATCAGAAGCGGGGAGATTACCGGCTGGGACGGTGCTTCCACCCCCTCCTGGAAGAACAGCACCGGTAAATTTTCGCAACTATGTCTCATAGTGACGCGCAAAGTCCCTGTTTGAGATAAGGCTTATGTTGAGTAAAAGTTTCTTGAAAATAAGATGTATAAGGCAGGGGCGATGCCATATGGTACTAAAATCTTCTCGGCTGAATGCGAATAATCCTGAGAAGTCACAGAGTTGAGCCAGACTGCAGCCTACACCGTGCAGTTTGGACCAACTCATAGGCCATTAGTGAGCGTATTTGAAATTATAGGCTATACCAACCAGCATCGGTTCCGCGCTGGCTGGCATGCCTTGCGGGAACGCACGGTCGCATGCGACGTGCTCTCGCGGGTACTAGAGTTCGCACGCGTCACCCGCATCGTCGCAAGCTGCCGCAGACACGGCGTCGCATCAGCGATGCTGGTTGGTACAGCCTATACAACTTACTTACTTAGATACTTGGATACTTAGATGGCCCGTCCTCACGTGACGTGCGGGCCCCAGTACAGAAGGTGCCATTGATCCCTGTCCCTCGCTTCGGACATCCACGACCTTCTTGGTCGTCGTCGGTGGCTGCGTCCACGAGTTCCAGGGGCGAGAATCGTATCCAGCTGATTTCTCAGCTGGTCCATCCGTTCCACGAACACGTCTGCCCATCTCGTCGGTGGTCTTCCTCGAGGACGTTTGGCTTCGCGAGGAATCCACTCAGATGTTCTTAGTGTCCATCTATCGTCCGTTCTTCTCATTATGTGACCGGCCCATCGGTGTTTGGCTTTCGCGACGTATTCCGCTGGGTCACGAAGACGGGACATTCTTCTCATATCCGTGCTGCGAAGTCCGACTAGATGTTGCTTGCGTCGGGTCATCTTCAGAAGACTGCGCTCGAGCGCTCTGTGGGTGGTCCGTAAAGCTTTCGACGTGGCTACAGTATCGGCCCAAGTCTCAGCTGCGTAACAGAGCGCCGGGAGAACGGTTGAGTTGAACAGGTGGGCACGAAGCTCCGGGTCCGTCAGTTGGTCGGTGGCTTCCTTCAGAGGCCCGAAGGCCGCCCAGGCTGCTCTTCTTCTCCTGTTAAGTTCTGTTGTTGCTGCATCGTTGTTGTACAGTCCTTGTGGCAGTTGGCTAGTGTCCTCACGTAAGCTGGTCCCACTCCTTGATCGACTAGCGCAGATAGGATGGCGTTGGTTTCGACGCTGTCAAAGGCTTTCTCGAAGTCGACAAAGGTTAGGACGAGAGGCAGTCGGTACTCCCAGCAGACTTCTATGACCCTCGAAACCGTCTGGATGTGGTCCATGCAGCTGAATCCTTTGCGAAATCCAGCTTGTTCTTGGGGTTGGGCTTCATCCAGTGTCCTAGATATGCGTGCGAGGATAATCTTCGTGAAGAGCTTGTACAGCACACTCAGCAGGCATATTGGACGGTAATTTCGAAGATCTTCCCGTTCACCCTTCTTAAAAAGAAGGACGGTTCTTGACTTTCTCCACTGGTCGGGAATCCTCTCCTTCTGAAGGTAAGATGTCAGGTGCGACGCGAGAATCTCGTGTAGACGTTGTCCTCCGGCTCGCAGAAATTCGACGGAAAGATGGTCTGGTCCTGGAGCCGTGGATGTCTTCATGGTCTGAATCGCCGTACGCACTTCAGCAGGTAGAATTCGTGGTGGTACTTCTCCAGTGGGAACAACGGGCATCGGCACGGGTGTTGATGAGCGGAAGAGGTTGGTAGAGAAGTTCTTCGCGATAGATTCCATCTTGTATCGGGAAGAAGTCGGAGTCCCGTCTTCGTTCAATAGTGCAGCCAGCGGTACGTGATATTCACAGAGGTCCCTTCGACATTTCTTAAGACTTCGTCTTCCTTCGGCTGCTTCCAGTATCTTGGCTTGCCTGTACTTCTTGAGATCCCCCTGCATAGCTGTTCTGCAACTGGCGTTGGCTATCAGTCGCTCGAGATGGGTTGCATTCGGATCCTGCCTCAGAAATCTTCTTCTTTCGAGCAATTCCTTGGTGGTCTTCGAAATACGTTCCAAGTTCTTCTCGGAAGTCACTGAGGCACATTCTCCGCAGGCTCGCAATCCTTTCAAAAGCCGGTCGTAGTCGTACGTCGGGTCCTCCTCGATGGGCCAGTCACATCATGATATGAGCTCCTCCAGCCTGTTCCCGTCATAAACGACTTCCTTCCTTCTCGCGGCACTATGACAGACTTTCTTTTCCAGCCTACGGCTGAGTCGTATCTTCGCTCGAAGGAGGCGGTGATCGGAGCCACTGCAAAAGGATGGAACTACTGAGACATCGAGCAAGCTCCACCTTCGGTTGGTGAGAATGTGGTCAATCTCCGCGTGAGTCGTTCCGTTGGGCGATTCCCATGTCCACCAACGATGTTCTTTCTTCATGAAGATAGAATTTCCATGGAAGAGTCGTGCGGGGGAGAGAAGCCCAGCGAGCGGTTGCCGTTTTCGTTCCGGAGCCCATATCCAAACTTCCCGATCCTATATTCCTTTTCTAGTGGCATCCCGATTTTCACATTGAAGTCGCCCACAACATACTTGTTGAAGGACTTTTCGTTGCGGACGACCTCCTCCACGTCTTCGTAGAAAGCATCTAGTTCTAAGTCGTCAGCTGCTGATGTTGGAGAGTTGCAGTTGATGATGCTGATGGTCTTCTGACGTGGAGGGCGTAGTCGTAGGATGGCTAGTCGATGTGATAGGATCTCGTGCGAATCGACAAGAGGGACGATAGATTTGTGGACGACAAAGCCAACGCCTCTCACGTTTCGTGATGGAACCTTCTCACCACGAATGATGAGCGTCCCATCATTCATCTGTCGCACGTCCTTCTTCCTGGACTTCGTTTCCTGCAGAGCGATGATGTGGTACTTGATGTGCTCTGCAGCATCGAGAAGAGCGTGGAGGTCGGCGTTTGTGAAGACTGTCCTGGCGTTGTAGGTGCAGAGCATGAGGCAGTCTCCGTGGCGTGTCGTCCGGGCAGACGTGTCGTTTTTGTCCAATCCAAAAGGCGCCCTGAGGACCCTGACATCAGTCTTGCTACCACCCGGCGCCGTAGGCGGGATCCGATGTGCAGGGTTTCTTTCTATTCTTCTAACTGGTAAAGTAATGAAATTTTTCCCCTACAAGAGCAGACTTACTAGGCCAACTCTTGATTTCCACGGGACGATCGCTGACCCCGGGCTTGGAGCGGGGAGAACCGCCTAGCGACCTAAAAACCAGACGGCGGTGGATCTGGCCTGGCCGGCTCTTGGCTAGGCATCCGGCCGAAACCGGAAACGTCGAAGTCCTTCACAGCTTGGGAGGCCCTGCCAGAGTATACACTCGGCTGTGCATCGCAGTTCGACACCCAGTGTCACCCCCACGCCACGATGAGGCGGCCGACCATTGTGGGGGAGCCTATACAACTGGTGTTGGCGATTACACAAGTTAGAGTGACGGACGAGGAGGTCGGCCATTGATAACAGAACTGCGAACCACGCTAAGATGTTCTTTAAATAAGCTCATAAGTTTTTATTTTTATTTATTTATTTTATTTATTTTCATTAGTTCCTTACAGACTACTACTCAACTTTTCTGCTGTTTTATGATAGGCGCACTTCTTGTGCATTCAATAAATAAGTAAATCCTTCTATATATATAAAACCGAATGGTGTACTTGTCTGTACGTTGGTGGATAAGCATGTTGATGCTGTCTGTACGTCTTCGATGGTGTTTTTCTGGTTTGCGACAGTGTTTTCGTGTCTGTTGTTTTCCAGTAGGGAAATTTGACATGTGGGATGTCTGCTGCCCTTTGCTTCGATTCTTCATTTAGTCATCATTGCGTATTTCGACACGCTGGGATGGTCGCGTGCCTTTCTCTTTGATTTTGGATTTCATTTTTGTACTTTTCGACACGTTTCTTAGGCGGTTGATAATGGTTGTCCTTCTTGATTCGTTCTTCAGTGTAGCTATTGCGACAATTAAAGGCAGTAGATCGGCAAAACTCAACAACCCACGATTTCGAAACGGTAGGTTGCTTATCGCTCAAGTATGGGAACAGTGCAATTCCGGTTGCCTAACATGCCTTCTCTGCCGAGAAAATTGCTGTTAAGCTTACACGCGCAAGCCAATCTTACAGGCGCCGGACGAGTTGGCAATTTCCTTTTCACCATTGGAGGCTGCCCGCCGCAATGCTTTAATCATTGGGTCCCGCAACGATTCAGCGTCGTCAGCCTTGCCTCCACTCGTCCAATTTCAAAGGAAAGGGCATCGAGAAACGCTCGTTTTCGCCGTTTTCAAGCTCCCTAGATTGGATTTTTGGGATCAGCGTAATGAATAACCCCAGGTAAGCAGAAATTTGACCAGGTTAGGATTTGCCGAGCCACTGCCTTTAAAGCGCTCCGCTTTGAAGTTGGATCATGTCGGCATTACATATTCCATCATTTTTTTACGCACTGAAAAACTTGTTCTGTTCCATCTTAACTATTCTTTTTCGTAATATAGTTCTTTATAGCAAAAAAGTGTTCTGCAATCTCGCATCGCTCCTTCATTTTGGTGTATTTGTTTCTGGCCAATTGGCACCCATGGATGGAGGAATTACAACTTGAACATGGGTTTTTCTCTTTTCGGTCGTCCTTCACGTATTTCTTCTCGTGCCACACTTCTTGATTTACCTTTTGAGCAGAATCATTTCGATATTGCATTTTTCATCATACTTTTTACGTTGCTGAAGAATTTGTTTTCATCTTAATTATGCTTTTTCGTATAGTTCCCTGGAAAAAATGTTCTGCAATTTTGCATAAGTGCTTCTTTAGGTGTACTTGTTAACCAACTGGGCACACGTGAAGTATTTTGAAGAAATTACATTTTGAACATCAGTTTTGTTAATTCTCGATCATCCTCCCCCTATTTCTTCTCGTGTCCCACCTCTTGATTTCAAAATATCAGGAAATTTTGGCTGACTTGTTTTTAAGCTGTCATGCAGACATGAGACACTATTAATTTCACTTTGAGTATCTGTTTCATCTTCTTTGATCCGTCTTCCACAT